ATAATTTAATTCAGATGGTGGGAAACTATTTTTATTTAGAACCAAATTGCCTTTATTCATATTCATTGTAAAAAAAACTCATTATTAGATGATAATTTTATGAAAATATATAAACTACTTTTATTACATAAACATATACAAACTATTCTTATTACTTCATTGATTAATATATTTCTATACTATATTTCATACGTATCTAATTAATTACATATATATTGATTGTAGTATTGATTAATTAAATACAAATGCTGCCATAGCAATAGGCATCAAAATTTTAATTTATCCATTAGGGTGACTTTTTACACTATCCTAAATTTATGTAGTTATGATAGACATTTAACATGAGGCAAATCATTTGACTATAAGTATATTTGAGTGTGCGAGAGAGAAAATCAGTAAGCAAAAATTTGGACCTTAAAAAAATCATGATCGGCATTTTGATAATTTTAGTAATAAATTATTGTATATTACTGAAATTATCAAAACCCGATCATAATTTTTTAGAGTCCAAATTTTTACTTACTAATTTTCCCTCTCACACAACATTTCTAAGAAGAGATGAATTTTAATATAAAAGAGATGAATTTTAACAGTAAAAAGAGATGGGTTTTAAGGTGGGAAGATGGGTTTGACATGATAATTATATTAGTTTGATTGTTTTGGGGGTTCAGTTTAATAAATGAGTCACATAGTTGACGTATATATCATGTAACAATTAAATAGTAATTTGGGTTCTTAATTTTGGCCCAATTTCAAAAATGCACTTGAATGCGATACACTATTTTGAATTCATACCGGGTGTTGATAAGTCCCTGAACAGGACCTTTTTTATATCTTCAATAGTATTAAATATAACGATTACTAGTTATTACTTTTTTTCCAGGAACTTATCATACACCCGGTATAGTACTTGGATTCATATAGAACTTGGGACTCATACGGAAATTGGGCTTCATTTGGTAATTGGGATTCATGCAGTTCTTGCTGCACTGTAACTGCACAGGTAGAACTGTCAACCCTTTTCAAATATATTATATCAGAAGACTTTTGTAAAGAATCATAAATCATTCCAAAAGTTTTTCAGCAATAATTATAATTAATAAAACTACCGATATACTATTAAAAAACCTTTGTATTTATCTTCAAATCAAAATAAAAATATGTATAGAATGGTTTTAAAAAACAAATAGAAAACATTCAAAAGATTAATAAAAAAACCTTAAGAATTATGTCATGTGGTACTGGGCTTAGCGATGCAAGGATCATGATGACAGATAAAATTAAGTAATTTATAGTTTATTTTGACAACTTTGAAACAAATAAATAAATAGAATGTTCGATCAATGTATGATTGAACTTTATCTCATTTTCTTTGAACAAACTTGACCCAACTTGAACAAACCCGTATTTCTTGAAAAGAGTTGTACTTTTTATATTTCTTAAATAAACTTGTATTTAATAAACATCATATATTGTGTGTGAATAAAAGAAGCTGATAATGTAAAAGAATGAAGTAAAACTCTGTAAATAAACATAGCTAGTGCAAAATTATAAATAACAAAGACCTCTAGTAGACAGATATTAATTAATTCCACATTACCTTTATTTCCTCACAATGTCTAAGTGTTTGTGTCCAAAGTGCCAACTGATAGGTAGCAAAATTTTAACATGGAGAATTTGAAGACTACACTAAAAGAATATTTCTCAAAACATAGCTACAGCTCTGATAAATTCTTCGTCTCATATAATATCTCATACAATTCGACAACCTTCAACAAGCCAAAAGTTCAATAATGAAAATGTGACAGATTATTTTAATACACAATTCGACCAAAGTAACTTTGATGATGAAAATGTGATAGATAATTCTGATACACAAACGAATGAATTTGAAAATTATAATGATAGTATAAATATGGAAGAGACATCATCGCATATGGAAATAATAGAAGACTCACTCCAAGAACATAACGAGATAAACAAATATTGGTATTTTGCTTTGAATATTTATTTAAAGATTTTTATTAATTAATATTATACATTAATAATATAGTCAGCATCAAATAAGGCTTTAATTCGTAGACCAAAAAAATTATCAACGTTGCAGATCATTTGTCAACGGATGATCAAAACGATAACAATAATAATTCTGATAGTTCCAATCAAAGCGACAAAAATAATAATTCTGATTAGGATAAATACGACTTTTATGAAGAAGTCGATGAAGAAACTGATAATGAAGATTACGAAAGAATTACACTATCTTCATTATTAAATTTCAATTCAAGATTACTAGATATCTTACTAGAACCATCATATAATCCAGTATGACTTTTATATAATCTGCTACTTTTAACAGAAAATCATGTGACACAATGGATTATTCTTTGGCTATTTTTATTTCAAAGAGCATTTATGATTACCAAGACTAGAATCATGACTTTATTTGTTTTTTTTAGTCAGTTATTAACTTTTATAGATACATCTCAATTTCAAATATTTTCAAAAAGCCAATATTTTGTTGAAAAAATTATCGCACACCCCGAAACGATTCACAAATATATAGTGTGTTCGCATTATCATTCTATTTATTTGCCTACAGAATTGTGTTTAAAGTCTTCAGAGCATATGAAATGTTCTATATACCAAAAAGTTTTAACGAAAGCTATTAGGGGCTCAGGTAAAAAACTTAAATATAAAGTTAAGTTTCTTTATTTCAATATTTATCTCTTAGATTGTAGTAGAATACAGGCAAATTTGCCTGCGTTTTTACACTTTTTTAGCTCTGATTTACTTTTTT